CCTGAACAGCCTTAAAATTGTATTCTCCTGATGAAAGCTGATGCAGTACTAATACACTGCCAACTGTGAAAATCTTTCTTTTGCTCTCTATACTTATTAAAGAAATAACTAAAAGATAACACAGTATGCTGTAGGCCACCAGACTTACTGTAGAGATGCATAAATAGAGCATAATCTCTCATAGCAGTGCTGTAACACAGTATGGTTTTTAAAACCCCCCCGACATAGCCATTATGGCTTCCTCTTCATTCAATGAATTTGTTTCTTACTATGGACACTTCTAATCAGGGTCAATACACCAGGCTTTTTTTGTTTGCTTAGAAGATGGATTTCTGCTTTTTATTATTCAGGTTATTAGAGACTCCTTCGTCCATAACAGATCTAATTATCAGGAAGACTGAAAGAGTGTCAGAATCTTTTGATTCTGGCTCTTCAGAGTAAGTCATATCCGTAAACTACAAATTTGAGGTAGGAAAGAAGTGATATTGGAAAAACAGTAAAACTTCAAAAAAAAGTATGAAAGTTTTCTTAATGTATATGTTCTTACTTTTTTTCCATTCCCAGTCCACAAAAATGGTTTTAAATCTAGCTGTATTTACAAATTCTTTCAAATCCCATTTAGTACCAGGTAGGCGTGATTTTATAAAAAAACTTATTTTGCAATTATACTTGTCATCAAATGCAAAATATTGTTTCCTTTTGCCCTTTAAACTGCTGCTTCTCATAGTTTCCCACACCATTTTCTTTTTTATTCATATTTTTAATAAAGTATATTTGATTGTGATAAAATAGTCAAAAGAGAATTGAAGGGGAAAGGGTACATAAAATGCAGACAACATGTCTGCAAAAACACTAACCCCAATTCATCACACTGTAGGATGAGGGCAATCTATTTCAGATGCGAAGATGAAGCAATTTCTGGATCATTCATCGCTAGCACTTATTTGGGGTCCCCAAGGATGCATTAAAAACTGAGACATGAACAACAAGTAAGAAGTGTACCACAGCATAGTAACTATAACAGCAAAAAGTATGTGTGCACTAGTTCCCTTAAGTTGGGATCCTGTAAATATGTGTGCTAACACAAAAGCACATAGGGAATGTTTCTGATTTATGTGCAGAACTCCCTTCCCCATAATGTCTTGACTAATGCCATCTCCCCAATACTTAGGAAAGTCAGTTCCTCCACATTCTTTTCAGAAGTGAAGGAATGATGCCAAGTTGTAGAGGCATCTGGTAGTCTCTGGGCATCCTCTGGAAAAGATGCAACTGTATATGATGGTAAAATAACCAGAGTTCTGCCATCGTCCCTGTAATCATCACTATTGTCCCTTTCCTTTGCACCCTAACTAGGAAAAGGGAATTCTGTAGATGCTTCCTCATGGGCATCAGTTTCTCTTCCCTTTGCTCTCTGGAGTTTAGGGTACAGAGCTGTTATAACAGTTTTTTCACTTGAGCAGTCTCAACCAGCTGTCCTTTCCTTCTATTCCCGCCCCCCATTTTAAGCTTGTCCATAGAAGAACACTAGTTCCAAGCAGATTCATTATGGAGTTAGCCCATTCTAATGATATGGTTTTGAGATGGCCATTGTGTAAGGGATGGAGCAATGTTGTTTGTAGGAACAGTATTAGAAAGAAACATCAGGGCTAAGTACAGACAGTCAAAAAGCCCAAGGCTAAACTGATTCAGTCTTTGCAGGTTAGTTTAAGTTGCCGAGTTTGAACTGATAAGCCAATGAATCACATCAGTAGGACTTCACAG